GTCTGATGAGTGTGGTGCCGGAGGTCTAATTTAAGTCCCTTTCTCTTTACCACCCTTTTCTTATAAGCAGACGATGGGAAGGGGTAGTGGATTTGACGGAGGAGGAGATACATAGGAAGGGGAAATATCCTATTTACGTGCATCTCCTCTGTCGTATAAGGGTAGGCAACGCATCTGCAATTAGGGATGTCTATGGGCAGCGGCCGCTTGCTCATTTGCTACCTTATGTTATAAAAAAAACACATCCATCTAAACTTTCGCATTTAAATTAATAGATAGTAGTAATATATTTTGTAATAAAAATGACAATATGCCACATCCATGATAATTTTATTCGTAGTCAAGGGTACATCATTGGGCCGTATCTAGATCGTAAAATATGGAAGAAGCTAGCGATGCAAGTAACGAAATCCGTCAGCTAATATTTCGGTCATAGAATGAATTTTAGAGTGTTGATGCAAAACTCGGATACTGATTTTTTATTATAACCTATCATGTTGGTATCATTAATAATTTCCGATAGAATAGGCTTTTGAAATTCTCTGGATATGTGGAAAATACATTATTTTATTATAATAAAATACATTTAAACTTTCTAGCTCATGCTATAAAATCGCTTTCTGCTCTTTGTCCTATGTTTCATCATCACCAGCTCACTATACGTCCCCACCGAGGGGTTCGGAGTCTACCCTAATCAGGGGTGACTAGGCCATAGTCAACCACGCTGACCCACTGCGGGTTGGTTGACTTCACACATATCTCTGAATTTCTTCGCCGATATGTGCAGGTTGCATCACGATGTTTTCCTTCACCGTAAGAACGTCGGGTAAATTATGTACGTATGACAATTCGAAAAATCGAAAATCACATTGATACATGGCGGCGGGATTCGAACCCAAGATCTGTAGATTACAAGTCAAGTGGTGAGCCACCGATGATCTAGGTCCCATGTTTAGATCTTCAAAACTACGCGACGGATAGAGTGATTCTAGAAGAAGGTTTATTTATACTAATATTATAAAGAGGAAGAATTGGATTTTTAGATTTTTGTATGTATTCGATTCACGTAAAAACTCATCATCCACTTGCCCTTATCCCTTATAGAGGGTCGGCACAGTATTCAGTATTCACGTAAAAACTATTGGGGCAATTTTAAAAATTCTTTCATCATTAGAAAGGTAATTTATCTGAGTAACATAGGCTTTTTTCACGCAAACGAAATCGCGAGCAACAGCTAGTGTATACTAATATTATAAAGAGGAAAGTTTGTATTTTTGTATGTATTGAAATAACTCAAAAACTAGGCCGGTTTTAAACATTTCTTCACCATTAGAAAGGTTTATCTATGAGTAACATAGGCTAATTTTTTAATAGCCTTTTGATATTACGCAGACGAAGCCGCGAATAACAGTTAACATGTAAAGCATAGCAGAGAAATATTTTCATACATTTTCATACTGCGACTTTTTTTTTTTATTTCACCACTATTAAATTTAAAATAACTTAAGTGATTCTTTAAAAAAAGATCTTGATGTTTTTAAAATTAATTTCATTCAAGAATATCAATCGATAGTCTAGATTGGTCTGTTGACAGTACTAGTCTAGGCTAGATTTTTTTGTTTATAGGCGTCAATATCGTATAACGTATCAGATGGGCTCGATCATTAGTAGAATACGTCAATTGTTTGCTAATTGAAACGGAAAACGCGACTAATTAATGACAACGCTACGAGAACGTTTGACTCGAAACCGACTAGTGATGTTAAACAATTTATCGATAAAGAAAATACAGTTTTAATAAGAACTAACTTTCGCCCGCGATTCTGTCCGCGTTGTGTTAAAAAACGGAAGTTTTCCTCCAGACTGTTCCCTGCATTCATGCCGTCATTGAAATCTGTTTAGCCTGTGTACTCGATTTTTAGTTGTGCAACTAAACAGTTGAAAGCTGCGAAACAAACGACAATCGCTCAACCGTTTTGCGATGGATTAGTCAAAGGTGCGACCGCTTTTAGATATTTCATCTTAAAAGTAGTAACCACTTTATATGAATGCAATTAATATTTTATTCGTTAATTTTAGATAAACTCAAATAATTTTATAAAGAGGAAAGATTTGTGATTTTGTATATATTGAAATACCTCAAAAACTACTAGGCCGATTTTAATAATTCTTTTACCGTTAGAAAGGTATTTTGTCTGTGAGTAACATAGGGTATATTTTTTTTCTTAATTTCACTCGGGCGAAGTCGTGAGCAACAGCTAGTTTTTGAAAAACTCAAAATAAATTAAATTTATTGTAATAATTGTTACTGATATGAAAATGTTTTGATAGAAGGATCTTAGTTAGTAAATACCTCGATCTTGATGAAACTAATCACAGATGTAGAACATAGTCTGGTAGAACATATATGCTATTATGTTTTTTACCGAGCGGGAAAAGTCGCAAGCAAAAGCTACATACCGTTTTTTTTAAATATAAATATGTTCAAATATAAAAAAAGAGTTTAGTTTGTTTTCCGTTTTATACAAAACTAGCTGTTCCCATACGACTTCATCCGCATAAAAATATGGAAAATTTATTTTATTGTTTACATGTGTACAATATTATCAATTGCAAATGCCAAAATGACATGACTGACAAACCATGGCAACCTTGCTTCCTTGAAGTTGGCAGCAACTTATGATCTCTTTCCCACATTAGGGTTTTTATCCCAAATATTTACCCCCTAAGTTAAATGGTGTGTAAATATGTAGACTAAAGCGTGGCGTAGGTGTAGGGCGTTTTTTTTAAAAAGAGAATTATTCAAAAATATGCTGTAATTGCAGACATTTTAAGCAACAAATAAGTGTGTGTTTAAGCTTTATTATAATAGTATAGATTAATATAGATTTTCTATATATAAAATAGATTTCTAGGTATATAAGAAGTGGTATACACGATTACTGTCTATTCTTGATATAAAACATAAAATTGCACATCAAATCGTTTCGTGGATTCGTTCAATAGGTCGCCTAACGAGCCGGAAGTCTTCTCCGTGGAAGCCTCCGTCGGCCATTACGTCCGCTGATGAATTTCATGAAATATATTAATCTATGTTAAGATTATTTCGATAAAAATAGCATTTCACTGAATTTCGTATTTTTTTGTAGGTATTTCTGGAAATATATCCGTGTTTGGTATTGTTTATATAAAAAGTATGATTTTCACTTTCAGAAATATTTAATTATAGGTTACTTAGCTTTCACCCGTGAATTTCTACATCAATAACAATCCTCTGCATTTATACAATCATGGAAATCCGTTCAGCAGTTTAGGTTACTCTTACAAACACATATCCATCTAAACTTTCGCATTTATAACGTTAGTAAGATTTTCGAGTAATGAATTTTTACTAAATATTTTTAATTTATGATCTATAATCACTTGCAACAACTAAATAAATTGCAATTTTTTTATAACATAAGGTGGCAAACGAGCAAGCTGCCACCCGAATCCGCCAAAATGGCGAAGCGACCGCTGCCCATAGACATTTTGCAATTGCAGATGCGTTGCCTACCCTTATCCGACGGAAGAAGAGACGCACATAAAGAGGATATTGCCTCTTCCTATGCCAAATCCACTTCCCCTTTCCATCCACTTAAAAGAAAAGGGTGGATAAGAGAAAGGGACTTAAACTAGTCCTTCATACCACACTCATCAGACGAAACACGGAATTGCTTCCATTTCACGCCTGTCTTCTGTGTGGACGTGGAATTACACCGGGTGTGCCCTGCAGTGCTAAGATGTTAAAGCGGGCACTACCACTGTTTAAATATAATTGCATAATCACGAGTAATACAATTCACTAAATAGTCTAATAACATTATAAAAACCAGTAACTTATTTGAGAGTAAAGAAATGTTATTTCAACATTTCCTTACTGAAAGTTTTTCAATGGACATAAAAAACATAATCAAGATTAAAATTGGAAGATCGCCAGAATTGATTGTCGAACTGGACTGAACCGGCTGGAACCGGATCTTACTGAAATATAATTGGAACACAAATTTAGAGGAACGGAATTTCAAGACGCGGTACGAATACAGAAGTCATTGATAGAGTTATTTTTTTTATAACATAAGGTGGCAAACGAGCAAGCGGCCACCTGAAACCGCCAAAATGGCGAAGCGACCGCTGCCCATAGACATCCGCAATTGCAGATGCGTTGCCTACCCTTATACGACGGAGGAGGAGACGCACATAAAGAGGATATTTCCCCTTCCTATGCATCTCCTCCACCGTTAAATCTACTTCCTCTTCCCAAACTCTCCTTATAAGAAAAGGGACTTAAATTAGGCCTCCGGCACCACACTCATCAGACGAAACACGGAATTGCTTCCATTTCACGCTTGTCTTCTGTGTGGTCGTGGTATTACACCGGGCACCATTCGTGCTAAGATGTTAAAGCGGGCACTACCACTGTTAAAAGTTAAGTTAATTTTATGGATGTTGTTATCGCGACTATGTTAAGGAACTACGTAGTATTTAGTTAATATATCTAGACAAAATGGTATAAATGAAATACCGATCGATATAAAACAGAATGTAACAATATAAATGCGAAAGTTAAGATGGATGTTTGTTTTCACGTATCTCACAGACTCAACGGATCTCGTTGAAATTTGATATAAGTAGAAAATACCCTAAAAGAACATAAAGGCTACTGACTTATATTTTTGATTTATATTCTTGTGAGAAAAGTGTATTAATTTAATGGCGATTGTTATCAACTTTTTAAGTTAAGAATTTTATTTCGCAACGGTAACTATAGTCTAAGAGAAATGCATTTATAGATACTTTAAACCCTTAAATGCACGATTTTTTCTTTTTAAATACCCTAAATTGATACGAGAAGTAAACGAAGATCAAGAGAAAAATCATTTTTTTTTAAATTTTTTGGGTGTGGAAAAGACGTATAAATGCATCATTTATTTAAGAGTTAATTTGAATCAAATACTAACCTCTTTCTCCTCTTATCTCCACATTGCCTCTATACCAGACAATGCGTGCTGCTGGCTTAGCGTTCCTCGCTTGACATTCCAGGGTAACATCCTCGCCTTCCTTCAACTCCAGCTTAGAGTTCGGAGCTTGGTTGATAATCTCCACCAGATTGGGAGGTGCTGTAAACAAAATTATTCATATTAGAATATACTGTAATTAACAATGTTGAACTTAATGAGACTTTTTAGTAAAATATCACACTTCACACTAATATTATAAATGCGAAAGTTTAGATGGATGGATGGATGTATTAATGTTTGTAGCCTAAACGGCTGAACGGATTTCGATAAAATTTGGGATAGATGTAGAGGATAGTCTGGAAGAACACAGGCTATTCACTTTTGTTTATTTTAATTCCACGCGGACGGAGTCTCGGGCGAATGCTAGTAAAATATAAAAATCGATAAAATGTACTACAAGTGACAATAGAATGAACATAAATTAATTATGAAAAAAAATCTCATGTTATTAAATAAACGAGGAATAAGAATTCTGTACTGGTTAAGAAAAATCTTTACAAGCTTTAATTTTCAAAGGGTTTAAAAATAATACCACAACTTAAACCGTAGGTTAAAAGTTAATTTCGTTCCGTTCATTTTTATTAATTCTTGTTCGCTTCAATTTATTCCATTTTCAATGTAAAGTTAAAGTACTGGAAGTTTTCAAATACGTCGTTTAAATTACGAGTTTCTCTCATTTCAAAGGGCAAAAGGAATGTCTATAAATAAATCTATATTTAGCTAACGGTCTTATTGTATTAAAAGGGATTCATTTTGTAATATCATGCTGTAGTAATTAGTAATTAATGAATTTAGAGTGAGTGAGCGCCTGTGAGAATTTTAGAGCAAATAAGCTAATAGACTCTTGATGCTACTTTTTTTGTAAAACATCTCGTAATCAATTTTATACTTTCATTTATTATAGAAAATACTTAAGCCGACGTTTCTGCCAAAAATTATTTAATTTATCGTTCGCAGTATTAATAACGCTTACGTGGCAACCCTCGGTAATACCAAAAGTACTGAATTATGATTTATTAATATTTGAATTAGAATTGTGGAAGATTCAAATTCCTTTTTTTAGAACCTTTTTCTTTTTAATTACCATTGCTTCTTAACGATAACACATTTAGCAACATTTAATTTAACGTTTGATTCTTTTATAGGTTATAAAATTTATTCACTGCAAGTTGTTATTCAAGTTAATTTAAGAACGGATAAGAACATTATTAACCTTTTAAGCAAAGATTTTTTAACGTATAACATTCACCAATGTTTTTAAATAATTATAAAACTGTTTAAAAATTATCAATTTGTCTTGTAAATTCACTTCTACATTGTTAAGCATCAAATAACTTTAGATTTTTCATAATTAAAATTGACCTTTCAATAACCTTCAGAACTGCAACATTTTTCCTACACTATTAGTTTTCTTTCATCGTTGGAAGCTATTTCCACGATGACAATCTATTGAAAAATATTTTTCTATGTGTATAGAAAGTTGCGAACAATATCTACGAGCGTTTCAATGTCAAACTGCATCGCCCCAGTTATGTATCTGCTTGTGACAGTTGCATACAATAGCTGTGATATATTCGAATAGTTCCCGTTAAAGTACGCTGCGGAATTGAGAAGCAAAAGGTTAGCGTGGTATGGACATGTTAGAGACGATGGGGACATAAACCTGAAAGTGTTAAGAATGAATGTGGATGGCTACAAAGGAAGAGGAAGACCGAAGAAAGTATGGATAGATTATGTGAAAGAGGATATGCTTAAGAAAGGAGTGGATTCAGATATGACGGCTGATAGAGATGTATGGAAGAGCAGCACAAGGGCAAGTTGATGAAAGTACGCTGCGAAACTTATAAATATGTCGGACGGATGAGCGGTTTGAAAAATTCAATTCCGAAGGTAGATACACGGGAACGATCTTCCATTATTGGCGTGCGTATGTCGGAGATAGTGAAATAACAATCGCGTAATATTAAAAACACTATCCTTAGTTGACCACCATCTTAATTGATAACTTCACAACACACTATAATCGATTTACAGAGATTTAACAATTCATTTTATAATAACAAAGCGCATCATTTCACCGTACATAGACAACTGTCAGCTGTCAATCGCCGTTTGACATCTATATCCGATGCATATTCAGCCAGTATTCAAAATTGTTAGTTGCCAGTAACTTTAATCGTTCAAAAAGTATCAATTTCGCCCTGTTGAATATAAGATTTATTTTAAGATGGGACATATTAATTAGCATGCGTGTATGTTGTGAACCCTTGTTTATCTATAAATGACTAGTTTTCGCCCGCGACTCCATCTACTTAGAATTAAAAATAAAAGTGTTTTACAGACTATCCTCTACATCTATGCCTTTCATTAACCGTTCAGCATTTTAAGCTACAAACACTAATAAACATGCTTCCATATAAAATTTCGCATTTATACTATTAGTAAAATTTCATTAATATATTATTTTGCGGATTTAATTCAGTAAGTTAACTAATTGGAATCTAATTACTATAAATGGTTTGTTCATATAATTTTGTTTTTAAAATAATAAATCTGGGAAAATAAAAAACTGGCAAACACCACAATCGTTCGGTGACATAGTTTACTGGCTTTGTTCTTGTTCCGAAGTTTATCGCGCGACCAAGTTTCCAAATAAAGTGTGGGTCAATGTACTATAGAATATTGTCTGAACAAAAATCTAGGGATAACAAGTGTTGGGTAGATTTAGTTCGCTACGAAAATGAATTGGAAATATTCAAGTTATAAGCGTTAGCGGAAAGGAAAATTTATAACAATATTGAAGAGTCAATTGCCTAATGGTTTGAAGCTACCGATCTTGCGTTTGTGGGTTTTTATTTGCATTTAATTGTGAACCATATTCTAACATTGTCATTTTGAAATAAATAATCTAATAATGTTTTTACATAAAAATAATGGACAGATAAGGGATTCGAGGACTGCTCTTCCCCTCCTTTTCTAATAAAGTGGGTGGGAAGGATTTACCAATCTTGTTAGTGTAAGTCCAATGCTTAAAATTCTTGTACAAAATATACTTCTATCTCGGTTATATCAAACAGTACTGATGGTTAAAATTAGAAACACAAGTGTGATAACATTTGACTTATATGTCTATCAAATTTCCTGTACATTCCATTATCTGTGTTAACTATAGTTTGTGTTAATGCTGAAATTAAACGTCAAACCGCCATCTCCTATCGATTGTGAGCGACGTAACAGGATATTGCCGTCCAGCGGCCGACAGTTCCGCTCCCCTGGCTTCACACAAAGGTGGGAACTGCCGCTTTGTCGTGGCCAGTGGTCAACAACGTTCGGCCCGCTAGTTACGTTTTGTTTATTTTTACAAAGCTATTGTTGTTTACGTGAAGAAATGGATTGAATTGTTTGACGGAATTGAAAGGAAGTTGGGTTATTATTTTTAAATCGCAGGACAAAGTTAATATGGAAAAGTATCTGCAACACTCAGAGTTACGTAACTAAAGGAGCACCTTATTATACATTTAATCTGAAATTACTATTTTTCTTTTATTTTATTTATGCAATAAAATCATTTTTTTATTATTAAAATAGCTGGTTCCGAGCAGCTTCATCCGCGTGAAATTATAAAACTTTATTTTATTGTTTATATTTGTGAAATGTCGAAATTAAAATGCATAAACGACAACCTTGGTTCCTTGATGTTGGCAGTAACTTATGATCTCTTTCCCACATTACGGTTTTTATCCAAAATATTTACCCGCTAAGTTTAATGGCATAAAAATATCTAGCCTAAAGCGTGACGTAAGTGTAGGGCTTTTTATTAAAAAAATATTCAATAATATGCTGTAATTGCTGACATCTTAGGCAACAAAGAAGTGTGTGTTTACGCTTTATTATAATAGTGGTTAAATAAATGATAATCAAAACTATGCTTATTATTAATACCATGACCTATTCCAATAATTGCTTTATGTTAGGTAAGGGGAACCCCATTTCACTAGTGTGAATCATTTAACACCGAATGCGCGCCATCTGTTATCCAATTCAATTAATTATCACTTCCTTGGCTGTGAAATTTAACCCTCAAACGACAACAAATAATCTTTTGTTTAGAATAACAATGAGCCCGCTTTATCGAGCAAGTCTTGGTTAATCAAACATTCTTTGTTGCAGGTTTTCACTGTTGTGTAACATGTATTACAAGCTATCTCTTTCAGAACCTTTGAAATAACAGAGAGGTTATAGAGTGTTAAACCAAATTAAGCGTCACATTGTTGTATAAAATTTTAACTATATCTATACTTATAATAAAATTGCAGTGTCTGTGTGTAAATGTCTTTACATACTGGTATATTGAAAAATAAAAATTATTTTGTAAACATGATATATTTATACTGCTGATAATGAAATGGTCCTTATGTGACTAATTTAACAAGAGCACTAACAACTTTAAATTTAACCTAAGGAGTCCCTTAGTGTAGATTAAAATGACCGTGTATTTGAGTGCTGATGTGCGCTTTCGTGCATTAATAAAAAAAATACCAGAAGCATTAGTAAACAATTGTGTGATGCGTTAAAGGAAAATTTTTAATCACTGCTTACCCCCGATTGTAGTTTGGTACAAAGGCGTTACTCAAGTGAACTTTTCAAGTGTTCTTAGTAGATTCAATGACCTAACTTTGAATTACTTATTCCGCACAAATAACTTCGTAAGAAACTTGTAGAGTTGCCGAAGGAAAAATAGTGGAACTGTTAATGAAATCGTGTGCAGGCGGCCTAAGTTTATCCGGGTTTTGTCTTAAAAGTTTCTTGTATTAAGAGTTGAAAGTCATTCGTAATTTAGGCACGTACAATCGTTTGAACTCAATTGAACGGAACGAACGCTTTGAATGAACTGAACGACTTCGTTTGGAACATATTTGTTGTTAGTGTTAATAATCGTAAATGGTTTTAAACTTTGTGGAAAATGAGTAGATTTTATTTTATAAGACATTTACCGCGACTTCGTGTGTGCTAAAAAAAAAGTAATAGCTTATGTGTGTCGCTATAGAGATAAATAACAAACATCCATCTATCCAAACTTTCGCATTTATAATAATAAT